TTCTCACAAGTCTCCAGTCTGCGGAAAGTGGTCCGCACGACACAAAAATCATCAGCCTTTTCCGGAGATACATTTGAAGCCGCGCGACAAAAAGATTTGGCTTCAGAGCTTCCCTGTCACTTCTTTCAAAGGAAAACATGAAGAAACAGTTGACTTTCAAGCCAATAGAATGGTGCTTGCCGTACTCACCCGGATAGGGAAGCTCGTGTCCTAAATTATCCTAATTTGACAAGCTATCTGAGAGTGCTGGTGTCGATAGAATAGATGATGTCTCCTTCATTGAGTGAGACCTGAAAAGACCCTGAGCATCTTCAGCACGGGCCCTTGGTACTGCGTGATGCGTGCTTTGAGCACCCGCATTGTGCGCATTAGCTTCAGACGGATGTTGGAAGACTTAAACAAGGGTATCCTGCACAAATCCTGCCGAATCATTTGCTTGATTCAAAGCAGTATAGTATCCTGTTCTGGCTGCAAACTCTTCACTTCACATTACAACAAGTACGAATTGGAATCGGTTTGAAGTTGTTAAGGTCAAAATGTTCCTTGCTTCCAAACAGCAGGTCTTTGCCTGCAGAAAGCAATCACTCTCAGCTGAGAGCTCATGCGGCAGAGGCAACATGCTGGGACGTTTCCCCGGGAGGATTGGTTGAGGACTCAGCCTGGGGGTTGTTCTGGCGCTGACGCTCCTGCCATCTTCGAAACATGGTTCCAAAAGTCTCTGCTTATTCCAAACGCCAAGCCTCCACACCCGGCTGGTTCCCATCCTCTCGATAAGCCTTGCCAAAATCGCGAGATTGAAAATATTTCAAAAAAAATATGATTATGGTATCTGAGCTTCTCCAGTACTTCCCCACTGCCTCTGAAATCCAGCGGATTCGGTTTCCATCCTTCGAAGACATCGTGCTGGACGGCACAAAGGTGCTTATGCAAAAGGAAGAAGACGTCTCGCCTTCCATTCTCCACGGCGAAAATCCCCTTTGGCAGTCTTGAAGACACCAATGCCATGTTGTTTCCCATCCTGGAGATGCTCATCATGACTCAAAATAACAAGTGTTGGCAATGGCTGCTTGCACCTTCCAGTCGCCCACATATTCTCGTCCGTCAGGCCAGGTAAACACACCATGCCCGTCCTAACTGGGATACAAAGTAAAAGCTCAAAGCTCCAATCAAAGCTCCAGTTTAAAGCGTGGCTGGGCCAACCTTCTTGTCTTGAAAATAGCCGCCAACGTACCTGATTTCTTTTCTCTAGGTCAAGTTTTCAAGAACATAACACTTGCTTTTGTGGTAAGGCGGCTTGGGCAAGCACTTCCTCCCATCTCGCCAAGTGAACGTTCCTGTCCCATTCATCCTGGAAAGAAAAGCAAGGGAAAGCACAAGAAATTGTCATCGAGCATTCCGCTCCTGTTGTTCGCCCACTGCCCTCTGTAGACGCGTCCATCATTCCAAAAGTACCTTCAAGGCACCGGCCAATGACATAAAGAACAAATAAGTTCAAAAACAATGCACAAAAGGCGCAAGTGCAGTCACTAAGTTTCTCTTGTGTCTCTCTTCTGAATGGTCCTGTCCATCACCGTGCGTCTCGGCTCACGTGCCCTGACCGTGGATCTCGTTGTTCTCAAACTCCCCTTCGTACCTGCAAGTTGTCATGTCTTCCTTCTCTTTTTATCTTCATTGTGCATTTGTGCTTTGTTCTATTTTTAGTCGGTAGTGTGGTAAGCAAGGCAAGCTACTACTAGCAACAAAGCTACCATGGACGCGGGAGGATTGGGGTTCAACGAAACTTCCCCGAAGAACCCTTCAAGAGGTCGATTCGTTTCACCTGTCTTTTGTCGGTTCTTCCTTTCCTTTACAAAGCTTAAAAAGCTCCAGTTTGGAAGCAAACTGTGGAGCACGAGGAACCCTCCGCCCAGGTAAAGGTCCCGTGTCCATGCTTCTTGCCGGCACGGTACCTGCTCCAGCTTCACCACAAAAGCATAAAATAACACATTATTCTATACCATTAATAATATACTGCATATATATAATATATATAGCAATGGCCTCCAACCTAATAGCTTCCAGCTTTGTTGCGGAAAAAGTGCTAAGATCGTGGCTGGCCCTCAAAGCGTGAATTGTCTGCCTCAGAAAACGGGCACTTGATGTTCTGGTTCGGGGGTAACATATCTTCGTCACCAGCTTGTGTTGGAATCAGAAGCTTCAGGAAAGACTGCTTAAGACACTGACCCATTCCTCTATGGCTTGTCCTTCTTTTTGGTCATCTCTCCACTGGCCAACATACCTGCAGTACAGCAGAAGTCATACTAGAAACCAAGAAAAGCTGCTACGCTTAGCCGCTAATGGCTAAGCCACCATAAAAAGGTATATTTTATCATGTTATATCTTTTCTCTGCATGTTTCTTGGCCTGGAACCATCAGCATGATGATACACACCTCGAAACAAGTAAGCTGATCATAAGGTCTTTAGACAAACACGACTCTCTGACTGGGCACCACACCCTCTCCATTTGCCTTGTCTCCCTTCCACTGTCCTTCATAAACATCACCTGGATGTCTTCATTGACTTCTCATTGTCAAAATAAACGATGAGAGCAACGAAAGCAACCCCACCGTCGGCATGCACGAACTTTCCAAAACCTTCGGCAAGGCCATTTCGCCAATTGCCTAGCGAAGCTTTGTTTCATTGCAAAAAAGTAAATACGCTGCCAGTAACAAGCATCCCAACCCTCGAATTGGGCTCCATCTGGCCACTCCTCGCAAAGGCAACTCAACCAAAGACCTCATCTCCTCCGTACTTACTGTTGATCCCCAGAAATCTGAAAGAAGATGTCAGAACTTCAAATTGGAAGAGGAAAGAACCCAAGACAAGATCCAAACAAGGAAACCTATAGCATCTTTAAGGAAAAATTACAGTATATGCAAAAGCAATAAAGCTCAAGCAATAGGAAACACAGAAACACACAGGCAGAAAAAAAGAAAGGGTGGGGCCACCAGCATGGAGGGGGCTGATATTCGTTGTGTTTGATTGGCTTCTAGAGACAATCTCAGAACAGATGCAATGTAGGGCAGAGTGCGTGACCTCCCAAAACAATCCCACCAAGGATGCGGGTCTTCTTGGAAAGTTGGAGGGACACTGGACAATGCTTCACGCGATGTCCACCCCTTGCAAGACCCAGAGGCACTGACGCGCATGCTTTCAACGGATTGGACGAGCCAGAGAGATGTTGGCTTGAGACAGTCACCAACAGCTCATCCAATCTAAAGGAGATACATGTCCAAAAGGGAGCCTGCCATGCAACGAAAGCAAGAGGAGCAGAAGAGGAGAAGGAAAGACATTACGCACAAGTAAGCTGTGGCAAAGGACTGATTCAGGTCACCAAAACGATGCCAAAACACTCTGGCAAATCCTGACGCAGAAAGAACAACCTCAACATCTAAATTGTGCTCCGAGGAAAAAGATGTTCTACAGCCTGTGGCTTTGCCACCCTTAACCTTGAGGATTATGTATTTATTCTGTGCCCACATACCAAAGTGCCCAGTCGTTTTTTTTATGCCCAGGACTACTACAGTAAATGACTAAGACTGTAAAATGTCTAGAAACTCGTCAGTCATCGAAAGGAGGCTGTCGCATGTCTCTTGGGCAGCTTCAGACTCATTCTACGTGCAGCAGTGCGTGAAGCTGCAGTGCAGTGAGTCTACAGCCAACAACAAGCACCCCAGTGCAAGTTGCCCATCGAAAGACAAGACAGCAAACTCGCTAGCATGATAGCTCCCTCACAAACGGGTGACCTCAGTCATGCTTGGTTTGTTTTATCCTTCAAGTCAAGTTTCAATAGATCCCGGAACCAATTGTTTGTTTCTTTTAAAGGGGGGGGTAGGCCGCTAGTAGCTAGGGCGTCGCTAGTAGAGGATGTAGCTACTACCTGCAAGTAGCTACTACCAACACGACGCAGGATAGCTCACGCTTCTTCAAGGAAGCTCCCCCCGCCGCCCTGAAGGCCGCGAAAAAGCTTAAGAAGCGCTCGCATGATTCAGTTGCTTCCTAGATTTTTAGGGAAACTTTCTGTAAGGAATGGGACTTACTTCCTCCAAGAAGCCTAAGCCCTTCCGCCTGCAATACTTGTTAGCCGAAGCTACTCAAGCTGCTTGCCTACTCTCAACTTCTCTTCTATACTCCCTGCAGTACCCCCCACCTAACCCCTCCTTCGGCCCCCAAAAAGAGTCTTCCTGCTCCGTCCTTTGTCCCACCCGTCCTGGAGTCCATGACCATCTCTTAGGCCATTCTTCCATTGACCAGTGTACTTGATGCCATGCCTTCACATGCATTTCACCGTGGATAGCACAGGAATAGCACTATGAGAACGTCTACTTCAGCGTCTTCTAAGCTCACTTGTACCTTCTGCGGAGAATCTGCATCTTGAGATGATGCTATATGCCAACAAGCTACTCCACTACCACAGTGGGATGCTCTTCCCGCTCCTGCACGAAATGTTCTATGGGTGGAAAATCAGCAATCTTGCAAAGGAAACAGGCTTGCACCCATCTGCAGCCGACGAATTCTCCTCCGAGCTGCCAACGGGCTTGCTTGGCCTCACAACAAAAGCCTTCTCTCAAAGGATTCTTTTCTTGCAACGCTCTGTGCAAACAAATCACTCTGAGGACGGCGAAGGCTTTGTCGCACTCTTTGAGGATGTTCCTGCACCAATCGGTTCGAACAGCCCGAAGAATGGCAAAGCGAAGAAGTGGTGTCAGATATGCAAACCAACGCAAAGCAACAAGGCCATTGTAAGCGTTATGAACAACCTGTGTCTCCAAAATGGTCACAATGAGTCACATCCGCCTTTCTTTTCACGGACGCTACAATGTTGGGTTGTGACACAAGCGAGATCCTCATTTCAAGTTTTAAGGACTCCCTCCACCCGCTTCACTTGGTCTTTCGGAGAGGTACACGGCCTCAATCCACTGTTGCAGACCATGCAGTCTCCGTGCATGTCTATATGCATTTAGCCGCTACGCAAAGAATCCCATCCTCGGGGTCCGTGGAGAGTGGAGAAGCGTCCCTGGTTAAACAAGTGTTCAAGAGTCAAGACCTAAGCAACTACCACGATTTTTGGAAAACTAGATAACCTGGGGCATCCGTTATATAATTTATGTTCCCAGAGTCCAGGAAAACCGTTCTTCATTGGGCTCGATGCCTCAGCGCCTATTCCGCTGTCGTCAGTGTAGGCCTGGCAGCTTTGCAGCTGCGCCGTCAATATGAAACAAGTTGAGTTTGACAAGTCTTCCAGCTCAACTTGACAAGTCTTGTCTGACAAGTCTTATCAACAAGGTATATAAGCACATGCAAGCGGCCCTTGAATCAGGTCTCCTTTAAAGGCCTTGTTCAAGGAGCCCTTACCTTCCTTTCTTTCCTCTCTTCGCCGACAAGTCTTGACAAGTTGGCGTCGTCGCTTGGGAACCTGGAAGGCGACTCGCTGCCCAGGTGCCAAGGTTTGAATTCCATCAGCAAGGTCCTGGGGTTGACAACAAGACAGCGCAAACGACACTCTCGAAACCCTTGAAATCGAATCGTCGTGAGTCGTGCTACCCCTTTATTAATAGCAATGGCCTCCAACCTAAATTTGCCAGCTCACCTTCATGTGCACATAGATCTTGGAATTGTGTCGAGACTTAGAGCAATCCGCTGGCCGTGCAACACTTCATTTCCAAGCGAATCTGAGGTCACTGCTGCCAGAGGGTGATCAATCGGCTGTAGCGGCTTGATCCAGCCGAATTTTCCCTTAAAGAGAGTTGATTTCTGATAGTTCTGATGACTCTGATGATCTTCCAAGAGAGTTACAATGCAAGAAGACGGGGAAGCCTTCCACTCCAGTACGTCTCCTTGCAAAGCTTCTCCTCCGAAAAGAGGTTGTCGCGGCAATTCTGGGCCCTTGGTCTTGGAAATGACGCAGGATATCCAAAATTGTTTCCCTCGCAGAACTTGGTGTGAAACAGATTTGTAGCCCGTGCGTGGAGCCCAATCACCTGGAATTCGTGAAAAACGAAAAGAGTGCTCATATTGATGGGAAATCAAGCCTCCCCATTTTGCACCATTGACCTGCGCATCACTCAAGAATAGTATTGTGATTACTTTTACAATAGCATGCTACTTGGTGAATGGTGAACATAGTGAACATGGCATGGTAACTTGCCTTCTGTCCAGGGACTAGGGGTGAAGGAGGAGCTGTGCCCAAGGGTGGAATTGGTGTTGGCCTGCATGCGCAAGGGCATGGCGCTTGAGCACTTTCACTGTGCATTCCCACTTCACTTTGCTTCACTTGTTCTAAGGCATAGACGGCAAGCATGTAATACCTAGCGCCTGGACATGTCAAAAAAACAGGATCTTCTCTGAGATTGTCTGCATGCTCGGAATGACATTTAAGTGACGCTGCACTTTTGAGCTGCGAAGGACACCGCTGTCCACGTAAATCGTCTGTCATCCAGCTTCGCAAAGACTAACTGAGTGTGATGTGTCCAACAAAGCCTCTCTCGGCTTGCAACATTTCCACTGACTTAGCAGGAATAAAACCAGCACAGTCGACATGATCACACTATCAGCTCGGAAGAGGAGTACACCACCATTCTCCATGTCCATGATCCAACCTCCAAGCACAGCGCCTAGGGCTGAACCAGCTGCAGCAACTGATGACATAAAGCCTTGAGCTGTTGAGATCATATGCATTGGCACATGTTCATTCAAGTAGTGCACTGTGGCCAGTGTAAAGCAGCTGTATGTCACACCATGCAAAGGTTCCAGAAAAAGCATCCACCCGGCACTTGGTACAATTGTGTAGCCCAAGACTCGAACCACAAAGCTGCCCATTGCTATAGCAATTAGTATGGTCGGCCCGAGCCGTGGAAGGAGCTTTTCACTAAAGGCGAAGATTGGAATCTCAAACAAGACCGTAATGGTCACGCTGAAACCCATCAAAATATCTGAAGAATGAAAGCGCTCTTCCATGTACAAGAACAAAAACTGAGAGACGTGTTGCATACCCATGGCTTGGGTGGCAGCACACAACAGCCAAGTAATCATGTCTGGTCGTGAACAAACAATTTTCATAACTTCCAGCACTGAAGCTCGAGGCGCTTGCGCCGATTCCGTCTGACTGGAGTTGGCAGCCGAATCACCCTCAAAACCTAACGCTGCACCTCCTTCGTCTGTCCACTTAGAGCGCAGAAGCAAGCTGAAGGAGGCTACTGCAAGCGATGCGGCCACGGCATTTCCAATGAACAAAAGTTCGAGGTGGCCATGCTCCACATCCAAAAGATATCCCAAGGTTGGATGGGCAATTCCCCATGAGACTGCTCCCCAAAGACGAAGATTTCCGAAGGCGGCAGGACGGTTGAAGCGTTCCAGTGTTCTCATCGCAATCCCTTTCAGTTGCCCATAGTCGTTGCCACGGGCCATGGTATACATGACCATCATGGTGCAACAATAGACAAACCGGCCCGTGTGGCTCTGAATCTTGGGTGCTAAGCACAAAAGAGTTTGAAACACCGCCGCCATACCCAGACAACAGGCCAATACCAACTTCCGCCGACCTGTACGGTCAGCCACTACACCCCAAAAGGATGATGCCGGGATGCTGGCCAGGATTCCAAGCAATCCCATCGTGCCAATTTCACCAGCATTTAGCCCATAGCCAGTATATATCAAAACGGAAAAGCGAGCAAAAAAACTATAGTACAGGAAAAGGAAGAAGTAGCTCACAGAGATTGCAAAAAATGCTGGTCGATGATCCCCCACGTCTGCGGCCATGGCGAGAGCGAAGCTGCTCTGAGCTTAAGCGCTCACCTACACACCTTGTGTGTGTAAGCTACAGTACGTGAATACTGTGCAGCAAAAGCAGCTGGAGCACAAATGCCATTGTGCAGACTTGCTCAAGAGGGAAACAAATGAAGCATTGTTGAATCGGTGCTCAAGAATTACTCAAACTTTGTCTCTAGAACTTCAGGTAAGAAACTGACAAGCGCAAGGAAATCATACATGTCGTACCGGCCTGAGTAAATGTCATACATTGTACCTTTTCTAGTTCCGAGCTCTGAAAATCATTGGGAAAATGCTCCATGCTCCAGCTATTCAAGGGAAAGTGGTCGTACAGGAATTTCAAGATACTCTTACTGTACAATCAATCATAAACTAAAAAGGAAGGTGCTGAAAAACCTGGCGCTTCTTACAGCGAGCGCACTTATAACTTGTACAGTATTCTACTGTGCATGTGGAAGCGCAGTATATCTTGCTATGAGTGCCAGACAGATATGATCTTTCGGAACTCGCAGCAAGTGCTTTGATCTCAAGCGCACACGGCCCAGGTCCCTCCTGGCCTGGAGCTTCAAAACAGATTTCCCACGTGCGAATAGGTCGGGACGTGCAGCAAGGACCTGCAGTCTGGGCTCATCCCTTTCAATACTTCTTGAAAGAATTACAGACCTGACCTAAGTCCTTCTAAAATGAATCTGAAGTTTCGGCTTTACTCCTTTATTTAGAACTCAGACCTTGTTTTATCGTTTTTTCCTTTTACTGCCTTCCTTTCTACCTTTATTCATTTCTCCTACAGCCTCGAAAGAGAGTTGGAAAATAGACCTTGTTAGCCCGAATTCATCGATTCTGTTGTGCCTCGTCCATCTTGGACTTTGGCAGCATGAGTTCTGCCCAGGTTGCTTGTACTGCTGGATCCTGAAGCGAGCAGCATGCAACTATCATGCGTCGTTGCTTAGGGTGACGTGCCTGCTGAAACTGCCACGTCTGGCTGCTGCAGTCAGGCCGGCAAGCCAAATGTGCAATGGCTGCATGGAAGAAGCCTGGAAACAAAGCAAACGACTGACAGACCAAGAGCACATGGAGTCCCATCTGAGACCAAGACGGGTAAAGTCTAAATTACTACCAGGAATCGACATGGCAAGTCGACATGGGCTGATGTGCTGAGCGCACCGAGACTATGATGCTGATTGGATGTGCCTGTATGCCTCACAAAAAGCAAGTGGATGAACCAAGAGCCCATCACTTGCAAAGCGCATGAAAAAAGTCTAAAAAGGGGAAGAAAGAGCATCTATTTTTTTTCAGAAGTGACTTTGTTGGCTCGAGGAAGCTGCATGTCGCACTCTAGGCAGGATCTGTGCATATTGCAGCCGAACTTGAACCAAAGACAGGCAGCAAGAAGGGACGATGTGATCTAGTGAATTGGCTACTTACTATTCAAATGGTATGTGCTAGCTGCAGAATTGCCTTGGCAAGGGAATTTGAATCATTTGAAGGACTTTGAACAATCAAACGATTCAATCTAACAACATAGCTTCACTCCAAGTTCTCCTTGACGTCCTGGAAAAGGCTCCACATCCTGTTGATGTTGGTCAGCCTGGCATATGGGGCTTACTGACGCTCCACAGTCTGGAGGACATGCGTGTAAGTTGCCTGCTCTGCGTGCACACAGAGGCAATGACCCATCAAAGCTTCTACCTTCCACAGGGTCAAGTGCACCAACCGAACTGATCAAATAAAGCGATAGTAGAAAGGTCCCAAGAAGCTACTAGTAACAAGGGCATCGCTACTTGGCATCGCTACTAGTAACAAGCTACATGTATCAAAGGCGAGAACGCAAGGAACGACGACTCATCCAAATGCCTGAACTCAGCTCCTGACCCCTTACACAGCTGGCTCTCTCTCTGCTCACACGCCCTCATCTACCTATGATATGTGTTCTTGCACTGAGCCCAAGCGACAAAATGCTGGTTCTTTTCTGTTGCGCGATTAATGTTTGCTGCACAAAGCTGTTCATGTCATTGAACCTGTCAATCCCGGTTTAAAGGAAGAAAGGGCCGAACGCTAGGGATCAAAGCCAAGCTGTGTGGGACCTGAACACCGCTCCACCTTTGTTCCCTCCTTGTGTTCTGCTAAGACGCTAAGAATATGCTGCATTGGGCAACCGCCCAAATGTCTAGATTCCCCCTTCATGCCATCGAATCATAATGGAAATCAAATCGACGCTTCTTTTCAACTTCAGGGTGGGCGCCTGACACCTGGGCAATTCTTCGCCCAGCGAATCATGATTCCGACCCGCACCTTGCAGAAGTCCCAACCTCGCAGGCCTTTCTGGCCTTTTGAGAGAATGGTCCAGGCAGAACGAGTGAAGTTTCCTACGCCGAAGGCTTTCATCAAGGCAGGAGGCATCTTGGAGACGTCCTCAAAGACGGGCGGTCCAAGATCATCCTGCTTTTGATTCATCCAATTCCAGCGATGGCGTCTCGCCTCACCGTTTTCAGTAATGCTGGCAGTGGGATCAGCAGCTCCGAAATGGCCATTGAACATTTGCTCAAGGACAAAGCGAGATGTATGCCCAATGCCCCACATGGACATAATTTCCTTGCAGGCATGCACATTGAAAATAGAATTATAGAAAAAATGGAAAGCAAAATCGATTAGGAAGGACTTGTTCACCTTCTCAAGTCATCTCAAATCCAAGACTCTTTCAGGCGAGTGCGCCTTGCAGACTTCTGCTGTGCGTCCTTCGGTTCATCCATCATGCTCCATACCTCCGCATAGAGTTTGCGAGTCTCATCATCCAAGCTGTAGTACCCCCCATGATCAATGACCACCACCTGGGACCAAGTGGAAAGGCGGTGCACAGTCTGACAGCTGCAAAACCCTGGCTGTCGCAGCTTTCACAAGTTTGTCTAACACCCTTTGGCTTCGAACACTTTGCTGGCCTGAAAGGGGCTTTTGCCTGGAATTGTGTGTGGGCTCCGGCGTACCAAAACATTGCCAGGATGAGGGTCTCCATGAAACTTGCCTTGACAAGGAAAATGTTGGAAGAAGACAGAGACGGGCGAACTTGCACTGCAACTACAGTATGGTCTGCTACAGCAACCAAGCATCCAGTCAAAAAGAGCTGCATAGCGTGCCAGGTTTCCTGAGAGGTCAAAACGAGCGCATCAAGACAACATGTTTGCATTCCCGAATCACTGTACTAGGTTCACAGCTGTAAATTGTGTTTGTATAAGCCACCCAAGTCGGAATCTAAGCTGTCCAAGTTGCAAGGGCTTCATGAATAGCTGGTACATCTCTGCCGTAATCCCAGTCAGGGAAGTGTTCCGGAGCTTTTGTGATTTTGCAGCCATCAATGAACTCCATCACCAGCAAACGCTTGGAACCTTTGTGCAGAATGATGTCATGAGTCAAGATGCTACACTTGACTCGAAGAGGGCTCACAGCTTTGCCACGGAGCAAAGCTCTGCATGAAGAGCTGGCACGGCCACTCTCTGCAGCTCATGTTTCGACTTCACAAACCTGCCCAGCCACAGAGAAAACCTGTGGAAACAACGCACAGCCTGTGCGACTCTTGTTTCTCCAGCACAGCCTTTCGCACTCCTCCTGCAAATCTGCCTCCCATCGGAAGTCGAGTTCCTGGCGCGTGTGCACAATATTGTACACCACTGAAGACTCAAAGAGTGCAATCTCATAAAACAACAATTTTTGAAGATCGCAAGACCTCAAGGGGTGTCCAGAAACAGATTGAGTCAAAAAGGAAACATCAAGAGGTGTGTTAGGTCGAACCTTCTTCAGCTCTTCCATGGCCCACTCCATCATCCACTTCACTGGCGTTCCTGGCCGCTGGTGTCCAAACAGGTACCACCAACAATCGATATGCCTTTTTGTTTGAACTTGGGGCGGGTAAACGGGTTGGGGTAGCTAGCAACCGGAATAGTTTTAACTCAAACGCAGAAGGGAGGGTTCTTCCAGGAAGTTCGGTAAGAAACAGGGCCTGTCGCAGCTTCGTACATTCCAAGCAAGCCCAAGTAGTCGCTCACGTCTCGATCAAACGTTTGGGCCAGACTCCTTCTCAGAATCCTAGGTGAGAGAGTGGTCTGCAAACCAGGACAAAAGCAAAAACATGCAATGCAAACATTGTTTTCTAAAGAATGCAGGAAAAATTCGGGACAACATAAGGCAACAAAGAAAAACACTAGCTGTTGCTCAATGCATCTCAAACACTTCACAGCAACCTTTTGCCCATTTTTCCTCGTAGCTACATGCACTTGGGCCATGGAAGCAGCATTGATTGGTTCCTCAGAGAACGAATCGTAGATTGTGCTGATTCCACCCGGTGTATGCTTGGCGACTCTATGTTCAATTTCACTCCACTGTTGAGCGTCTGCAGAATCTTGCAATGCTTGAAACTCCTCAAGAACTTCCTTTGGAAATGCGTAGTCCATTGAAGAGGCGGTTTGGGCAGCTTTGACATAGATACCCCCTTTGCTTCGACATAAGCTCGCAATTTGCCGGCCAGCAACCATGGGATCGCTGCTCATTGAAATGGACAAACCAATGTATGCAACACTGGCCCATGTGCTCATTGATCTGCCCAAGCTTGACAAAACCCCAAGAGCCTCATCAGCCGAGTCCTCGCCCCCGTCGGCTCCCTCCAACCACCTTTGCTTCCTCGCTTGTTCCCTCGCTTCCACGGACCCGGAAACAAGTCCTTGCAGCTGCAACTGTTTTTCTGCCTCAAGTTCGGCATTCATTTCTTGAATTATTTGTTCTTTTTGTTTTTCTTTTTCTTCAAATGTAGCTCCATGGCCAACACCTGGCTGAGTTTCAGTGCCCTCTTCTTGCGAGGAGTCTAAAGCTTCGCCAACAGATTGCTGGGAAGCTATCTCCGCAGCCAAGAGCTCTGGTGACAATGCTAAAACCTCACCAACATTTGGGGGTTCTTTATCCTCACCAGCTTGCTGTTCTGGTTCTTGCTGATTCTGAGCACTTTCATATCCTCCACTCATCTTTCCATCCTGTGGTTTTTCTAGGCTATTGGACACCTCGGTATTTTGAAGTTGCCTGTCCTTGGACACTTCGTTCGCACTCAAATAGAATAAGTACTGCGAATTTTGGTGCATTCGAAGCAAACTCCCAAGCAATTCATCAGCTGCAACATCTCCAATCTTCATTCGGCAAGACTTTCCAGCTGCGATATCTTTGGCGGCCACATCGTCCACAGAGTTGCAAGGAAGTGTTGTTCCATGTCTTGTGTCACCGTCAACACGCGGGACATCCAACTGATCAAAATCGAACATTACAGTGAAAAACACACTGATACAATTCGAGCCAAAAACTCCGAAAATCCAGATCCAAACAATGTGTTCTTAGTGAGCTTGTGGAACTGTTTTGTTTCAACATTTCCACACACTTGTTGTGAATGTAATTGTGGCCAAACAGTCACATGCTGGAAAAACACGTTCAATGATTTGGAGGTTTGCAAGTTGTTTCACAAACGCGTGCTGGCTCGGAACTCGGAACAGTCAACAATGCTGGGAAAGGGCTTTGTTTGTGAGCAGAAAACAATGTTGGCAATGCACGCCAGCTGCTTGTCAAAAAACAACCAACCAAATGGCAAATCACCAACAAAAATCAAACATGGGCATGCACTCGGAAACAACAACAGATTTTTGAAGGTGAACATCAAAGGTTTTGGACATGCCAAGCTCAAATAAAACCTGCCAAAAAAAAAATTGTAAGTCGAATCGATCAACAATCCAAGAAACGTTCACTGGCAGATTGGCGTGTCTCCTGCTTTGACCGAGACTCGGCCAACAACTGCAACCAACATGTTTGAACTTGCACAGGGGAAACAATCAGCCCCAATCATTAAACTTGGGCCAGTTGCGGTTGCAACATTTGACCCGCACCGTTCTTTGGTCCACTTCCCACCCACAGTGATGATTCAAACATGACTGGCATTGCACGCGTTGCACGTGAGACTCCAAATCCACTTGTCACGCAATCAAAACACAAGCGCTGTGGAAAGGCACACGAAAAAAAAGTTTCAGAGCATGGTGAGCTTGAGAACCCGCAGGCAAACCAGGAGCAATTCGATTTTGCTGAGGGTTTGATGAAATCTGCGTGCGGGATGGTTCAAAAGTTCAAACTGTTGCAGGCACGTCACGGTGATTCTTGTGAACGTCAGAGCAATCAGAATCCTTGTCCATTCCACGACCTGATCTTTACTCAGCGCTCTGGTGTGAACTTGGCTGTGAAATCGGAATTTTTGGCACACGTGGGGCTGCTGTTATCGCAGAAATGCGAAGGTCCGGTAGAGAAAGATTTCCTGAGTTTCACACGCTGACGATGAAAAAGCAAGGAAATTGTCAGCGACACTCAAGGTGCGAGGACCAGCACATCGACAAGCGACCTTATGCCAATTCTGGCCCACTGTAGCGACCGGATTTTTTCGCAGGGTGTTCGCCGCGTGTTGGCGCAGGTTAGGAAGAGGAAGAAAGGTGAGATGCATGAGGTGTCAGAGGAGACATTAGCAGAAGAGTGGTGGGACGACAGCTGGACACAAGGTTCCAGCTGCGAATGATTCGGGATTGTGATGTTGTCGGTCGCGGTGAGCGTGCAGTTGGAAGTTCTTGACAATAAAGGCAGGTTGAAGTCCATTTCAGGTCCAGATTGAAACCCATGTCGGCAGACAGCACAACATTCTGAGCACTGGAGCAACATTTCATGTGCAAGCCGTTTCCACACTCAGTTGGAGTCGAGCTATCGACAGCTGAGGACCGTGGAGAAATGGTGTAGGACAGGCGTTGGAATCTGTTTTTCCATGGAAGGAGAAAAAAATTCAGAGCAGGAAGGAGCCATTGCAACGAAGCATCAGTTCAAATCGAAGTAAATTTTTGCATCCAAGACCGAGTTCGAATTCCAATCATGACAATTGGTTGGCTGGTTGTCTGCATGCGGTCCCTAGGCACCTCGATGTCCTTCAAGGCCTTTGGTTTCCTCACATTCAGAAAAGCATTCGAACGCCTTGCCTTCCATTTCCAGGGTCAGAAGGTTAAATCGTCAGTTTTTCGTCCGATGTTTTCAAGCCTCTTGGACAAGTCTTGTGTCTGAGAATGTCGCGAACTACCTGGGGTCTCTGGCGTGTGAAAACTACAGAAATCTCGTCCAGGTCGATCTCTCCACCACATCGATCAAGGTCATTTAATGAACGTACCTTCTCGCATTGTGGGAGTCTGAAACACATTTGGCTTCCGGACACGTTGCGGAAAATTCACACGGAGGCTTTTGCTCACTGTGAGGCCCTCGAAGTGGTGGACATCCCACCAGCGCTCAGGTACATCGCGCATAGGGCCTTTGCCGACTGTAGTCAGCCAATACACTTTAATCTCCAGCATGTAAAAAAACAACTTGGAGAGGACCTTGTGCAGAAAGCAACACGTTCGACTTATGCTGTTCCTTTGGAATTTTGAAGCGGATCAACCTCCTTCCGCCCGATGGAGAAGACCCCTATGGTTGTCCCTCCGGCACATCGGAACCGAAAAAAGAAGGGGATGTTTTTTTGAGAATGCACAGGTCACCAAAAAATGGGGAGGTGATTGGAGCTGCTCTCCACAGGGTAAGGCATCCTTTCCACCCGCCGGACTGCTGTGTTGATTCATGTTCTTTTTTGCACAGGTGGAGCCGCCGTTTATGCAGGAAATGCACAGGTCAGCTTGCGCTGCTTTTTTGAAAAGGTCTCTTGCATGAAAGTGCCAAACAACGAAAAACCACACAAACCCAAACCAACCCAAAAACAACAAACAACAAACAACCAAAGAAGCGAGCAGGAAACTCTTGAGCATACATGCAGGGTGACACCGGTGTGAGACATGGGTCGGGCGATGAATTAGCGCAAAAAGGCTGCATGAAGCTGTTGACACCATTCCTGACTTGGTGAATAGGTCTGGATGAGTTGACCACATTTTAGGTGAGAGAAGCAGATGATCTTCATGCCCAGGATATTGCTCTGTGTTTGCAATGCGTGGGCAATCAGATCAGATCAGCCTGACTGGCCAGTCAGGCGGTATGGTTGATGTGTTGAGTGCTTATTGCTCATATTTCATGACTCTGGAAAACCACTGATGATCAATCGGCTTTGACGCGCCAAACGAAAGCGCCATTGTCAGCAGTGCGGCCTATCGAAAGCTGTTCAGGAAACTTGACGGTCACTGAGATGGAGGTGGCTGCAATCAATGAAATCTCGCAGCCAGGGAGGAAGCCGAGTTGTTCAAGTGGCTTGGAAGTGTTCGTGGTTCTGTGTCCAACACCATTCCAAGGATTCGCAAGTGGAAGGATAGCGTCTTGAGGTGGTTCGGGATGAAGACAATTCAGAGATCATCCACCGCCAAGGCCAAGTCAGCGACCCGGAAGGCCATTCGCAAGACCAAGGGTTGGCGCAGAGCAACTCAGACACCGTAAAGGCCATGTTCCGGAAGCCGGAGGAGGAGAAGGAGGAAACGAGCAAAGAGTCGATCTGGAAGAGAAAGGATACCAAGGCAAAAGCTCGTCCAGGTGGTAAGAGGAAGACCACCACCGATGTGCCGCACCAGGAGGAGGAGCAAGAGCCACACGGCCGTGACGCTGCTACGTCGAGTCCGAAGTCAAGTCAAGTCAAGTCGCAAAATAGCTAGTTAGACATAAAGACCGAGCCTCCTATCTCAGTATCGCTGACATGACCAATAACTCGGGATAAGCTAACAAGGCGATGACCTTAGTCTTTGCCTGAGTCCTTTTCTATCATACTGCATGCATTCATCGTGCCGCCATAAAGTCTTGGTTCAAGTTGTGGCAAGACATAGTATCATATGATCTGCAATGGCGATAGCGCAACTCCACGAATTAGGCACTCCACGGGAGGCAAAAGAAGATGTGTCCTGCTTACTATCGCTGATCACTATAGCAGGGAACATAATCCATATGCCAATCGACATTGCACAGTATAGTTGTTTTGATGAACTTGAGGACGACGTCGTTGACTACTTGCCTACTGTAACTGCATTAGACACTTTCGGTTGTGAAGTGGATCTTGTCGATCCGGACACCCAGCAGCCCCTTCGTGGGCCAGTACAGGACGTGTTAAAAGCACAAACACGTTTCCATCTTGTAGTTCGTCCATGCATGTGGGTCACAGCAAATGGCACTTCCAGAGAAATGACAGTCAAAGATGGCCGAAGGCCGTGCTGGTCCCCACCAATGACGCGGGAGCCATCCCGGATAACGCATTTCATTCTGTCCCAATTCTACGGCACCTCTCTGTGGCAGAACGACCTCACACCATTGGTGCTGCAGTATGGCAGAGTTGTCACCAACTCCAGGTTGTCAAGCTTCCTGAGACAGTAGTATGCATTGAGCGAGCAGTTTTTCTCGCAGTGCTTTCCGCATATGGTCCCCTCCATGGCCTGGTTGCCAGGCAGGAGTGTGAGATGCGTTGCAGTCAAAAAAGGCCTTGTGCCCAACATAACGCAAGGTGGGGGAATGTCCACTTTGAGGCTTCCTTACGGATATTCTGTAAAACTGCTGAGAGGCAACACGTTTTGCAGACTCACACAGTTGGCAAACCGATTGCTGTTTTCGAGAGGTCAACCGCAATGAGGATTTGCAGTGTTCACAGGCCAGTCTTCCTAGGAACGTAGTTTCTGGGGGGAGGGAGGCCTTTGGAGCCCTGAGAAACAAAACCCTTGCATCGGCTTGAGCGGCGTGGAGGGCTTTCGCCCTGAACTCCTTGGGGGGCAATGTGATTTGTGACAACATTGGGCAGTTCTCGAAAAGGTGTGAGGACCGTCGTCCTGAGTACCAATGTATTGAAGTGAGCAACATTCAGCAACACTTGGGCGCAATGACCTTGACAAATGAGCTTTGAGTTGCGCAGTGTCACAGTTCCAAGTTGGCTGCACCTGCTCACAGAGGTCGCGATGTGTTTTTTTGCATGGGTGGAGACGCCATGTGTGCAGAAATTGCACAGGTCATCTTGTGCTGCGTATAAGTGAGTTACAGGCCAGGAAGAATGAAAACAGACAACCGAACAGAAAACAAACACCCAACCAACCCAAACCAAAAAAGACCCAACAAAACACAACACACCAAGGAACAGGCAAACTTCCTGGCATCAAGCAACTCATATTGGTCACGCAAAGGTGAGACAAGAGATGAAGAGTGAAACTGGGGCAGCGAATTAGCAAAAGGCCTCTCAGTACATCAGGGTAATAATCAGTCGAAAGCCAGTCTTGCATTGTGTTATGGTGCCGTAGCGCTTTTG